GGGGTCAGCTAGAAACTGAATTAGATCCGCAAATAATTCTGTTTTATCACCCTCCTTATTTATAAACCTTAACTTTTTGTGATGTGGAAATGTATTTTAACAGTTATGTGAAGTAAAATGTTAAACATTAATAATAATCTTATTATAATGTGTATGAGTATACTGATAGATTAACTTGTTAAATCAACAAACACTGATCTGGTGTAGTTTAAGATCTGAAATGAATAATTGCAGGAAAAATATTCATTTAAACACATCATTGATTACATGCACAGAGTATTCAAACAGTTGAGGATTTAAACATCTCGTTCATTCAACACATTTGATTATTTCAACCTATAAATTGTGAAGTCATTTATGAACTTTAGTCAGGGTGAAAAATGCAGGAGTCCCACCTGAGACCTTGACTGAAGATGTTATGTCTTTGTACAGTAACAAGGCCTGGTTCAGAGCTTTCTAGTTTGGAGGCCTGACAGATGGGGTGTTTTTGTCTTCAAATTAAAAGTTACTTTCTGGTCATTTTTTATGTAGATTTGACCTTTGATCCACTACACATCCAACTGCACATCTCCTTTAAGCCCCATGAGATGTCTAAGCTGCAGCTGTTACACTCCTGCTTAGACTCTATCAAAACCTGGATGGCTGGGAGCTTTTTACGAGACTGTTTCTCAGCTGCATTTTAGTCACATCACCACGCCCACTTTCTGCCATAAATGGTCAACGCAAAGTGCCTTGTGGATCTCATGCATATACATAAGCCGGCTGTTGCAGCGCTCCGCCAAAGACATGGCGACTGTAGATCAAGGCAGCTCAAGGAAGCGTTATTTCACAGAAGCAGAAATTGAGGTACCTGGGTGAGGTGGAAAAATGAAAGGATGTGATTTTGCAAAACAAAAAAGAGAAAATCCACGGAGTGGCACAGCGTTGCTGAAGCCGTCAATGTTGTGAATTCTTCAGAAAGATCTGTGGCGGATATAAAAAAAACGGTCCAATTGGGATTCGATGTCCAGACTCCCAGGTGAAAGTCACGCACGCTAACCAGTCAGCCAAATGGAGATCTCCCCTGTACAAGTAGCCAGGGTGGATCATCAATCGGGTCACGGTGACGGGACACACACTGTCACAGACACATGACATTCTGTCTCAATCTGTCCCCCTGCTGATATTCTGCATTCCATATTCTGCGCTTCAGGCTGTGTGTGTGTGCGCGCGTGTGTGTGTGAGTGTGTGCACATGTGTGTGTGTGTGTGTGTGTGCGTGCGTGCGTGCGTGTGTGTGCCTGTGGGGGGCCTTGTTTTGTGTAAAAACGAAGCAGTACAAGTGATAATGCGGCAGGATTTCAAAATTTTATCCTTCTCAGCAGCAGCACTGCAGGTGCTTTCCATGTCCAAAATGTGTGTAAGCAAGGTCCTTAGTCAACTTAAAGTTGCGCACATTTTTCCGCTAAGTTTTCTTTCGTAAATCCCAGAGTTTGCGTGGAAAGTTGCTTACACAGTTTTCCAATCCCGTTTTGTGCATAAGCAAGCTTGATAAATGAGCCCCCTGGTCTTCAGGGCCTTACATGGACAGTTTACAATACTCACACCATCACACATTGGTGATCTTCTTAGTCCCTACACCCCCAGCAGGTCCCTGAGGTCCAGTGACCAAAGTCCACTGGATGTGCAACACACCAGGCTAAAGGCCAAAGGTGACAGATCATTTGCTGCTGTGGCCCCCAGACTCTGGAACTCTCTATCCCTGAGCCTGAGATCAGTGGACTCAGTGGTCTCCTTTAAAAGCAGCTGAAGACTCACTTGTTCAAGTTGGCTTTGTTGTGACCTTCATCACCACCCTCTCCTTATTCTGCTCTTATTCCACCTTTCCTGGGATCCACTGATCTCCCTCTTTCTTATTAATTTTCTCTCTCCCTTTCCTCACATTTTTATCACAATTTTTATTTGTTCTCATTTTAAAAATATTTTGAATCCATCCATCCATTTTCATCTGCTTTTCCGGAGTCGGGTCGCCGGGGCAGCAGCCTAAGTTGAGAGGCCCAGATTTCCCTCTCCCCAGCCACTTGGGCCAGCTCCTCCTGGGAAATCCCAAGGTGTTCCCAGGCCAGGTGAGAGACATAGTCCCTCCAACGTGTCTTGGGTCTACCTTTAGGTGTCCTCCCGGTTGGACTTGCCCGGAAAACCTCACCAGGAGGCGTCCTGACCAGATGCCCGAGCCACCTCAACTGGTTCCTCTTGATTTGGAGAGTTTTTAATAATCTTTGAAAATCTTTTTTATACTTAAAACTTATTTTTGTGAAGCTTCATGCGATTTTTATCTTGAGAGGCGCTATATAAAAGACTGTTTTCTTTATTTTCTTTCTTTCTGATCTCAGGCCAGTATATCAGATCATTTGAGACCCTGAGGTTGTGCAATTGCTCTGTGAGTCTGAGAAGTTCAGCTCTTTCTTGAATTCAGTTAGGTCACAGAAAAGAGGAAGGTGCCACTGAAAGTTCACAATTTATTAATACAGCTTCCTTTTTATTTGTTTGGCCATATCAGAGGAAGAGCTCCTTTTGTTGCTTTTCTTGTTTTCACTTCTGAATGTTCATACAACCCAGATCTACAGAGAAGTAAGATTGTTTATTTTAGCAGTCTGTTTATTGTAGCAATTTCAGTTATTTAGAATTTGAAATAAACGCATTAATTTAGATTAATTAGCTAAAAAAATAAGGCAATAAAAATTTTAAGCATTTTATCACAGCTTGCCTTTCAAGCAAAGTGAAATGTTTGTTATGTATTATTGTTTTGAATTGAAATATAATTTAAAAGCATTTTTTTTTCTTTTCAGAAATTAAATGGGCTTCAGTTTACAGTACTCACAATGACCTCAATAAAATGATTTGTAATTTAAAAAATTGCTTTGGGGAACTTTTTTCTAAACAATTAAAATTTGATTCGCCAAGAAAATTTGATTACATAGTCTCTGATTTATTAGAATAATTGTTTTAATCAAGTCCCACCCCTACTTAAAATAATTTGTTGCTTATGATAAATGTAATTACTGATCCCTCAAAGTGTTTTTAAGTAGTTGAAATATAAATAAAGAATATCCTAAAATGTTGTTACCATATGTATCTGGTTTGTTTAGTTCTACTTCTGTTCCACTATTCACAACTTCTACCACATCTAGTTCTACATTTGATCCTTATAGTACTACTTCCATGTCACCAACTTTTACTTCTACTACTTCAAGCTCTAAGTCAGGTCCAATTAACACCTTTTCTACACCAGGTGTTTCCACGTCTACCCCTTCAAGCTCTACGTCAGGTCCAATTAACACCTTTTCTACACCAGGTGTTTCCACGTCTACCCCTTCAAGCTCTACGTCAGGTCCAATTAACAACTTTTCTACACCAGGTGTTTCCACGTCTACCCCTTCAAGCTCCACGTCAGGTCCAATTAACAACTTTTCTACACCAGGTGTTTCCACGTCTACCCCTTCAAGCTCCACGTCAGGTCCAATTAACAACTTTTCTACACCAGGTGTTTCCACGTCTACCCCTTCAAGCTCCACGTCAGGTCCAATTAACAACTTTTCTACACCAGGTGTTTCCACGTCTACCCCTTCAAGCTCTACGTCAGGTCCAATTAACAACTTTTCTACACCAGGTGTTTCCACGTCTACCCCTTCAAGCTCTACGTCAGGTCCAATTAACACATTTTCTACACCAGGTGTTTCCACGTCTACCCCTTCAAGCTCTACGTCAGGTCCAATTAACAACTTTTCTACACCGGGTGTTTCCACGTCTACCCCTTCAAGCTCTACGTCTGGTCCAATTAACACCTTTGCTACACCGGGTGTTTCCACGTCTACCCCTTCAAGCTCTACGTCAGGTCCAATTAACACCTTTACTACACCGGGTGTTTCCACGTCTACCCCTTCAAGCTCTACTTCAGGTCCAATTAACACCTTTTCTACACCGGGTGTTTCCACGTCTACCCCTTCAAGCTCTACGTCAGGTCCAATTAACACCTTTACTACACCGGGTGTTTCCACGTCTACCCCGTCAAGCTCTACGTCAGGTCCAATTAACACCTTTTCTACACCGGGTGTTTCCACTTCTACCCCGTCAAGCTCTACGTCAGGTCCAATTAACACCTTTTCTACACCGGGTGTTTCCACGTCTACCCCTTCAAGCTCTACGTCAGGTCCAATTAACACCTTTACTACACCGGGTGTTTCCACGTCTACCCCTTCAAGCTCTACGTCAGGTCCAATTAACACCTTTTCTACACCGGGTGTTTCCACGTCTACCCCTTCAAGCTCTACGTCAGGTCCAATTAACACCTTTTCTACACCGGGTGTTTCCACGTCTACCCTTTCAAGCTCTACTTCAGGTCCAATTAACACCTTTTCTACACCGGGTGTTTCCACGTCTACCCCTTCAAGCTCTACGTCAGGTCCAATTAACACCTTTTCTACACCGGGTGTTTCCACGTCTACCCCTTCAAGCTCTACGTCAGGTCCAATTAACACCTTTTCTACACCGGGTGTTTCCACCTCTACCCCTTCAAGCTCTACGTCAGGTCCAATTAACACCTTTTCTACACCGGGTGTTTCCACCTCTACCCCTTCAAGCTCTACGTCAGGTCCAATTAACACCTTTTCTACACCGGGTGTTTCCACGTCTACCCCTTCAAGCTCTACGTCAGGTCCAATTAACACCTTTTCTACACCGGGTGTTTCCACGTCTACCCCTTCAAGCTCTACGTCAGGTCCAATTAACACCTTTTCTACACCGGGTGTTTCCACATCTACCCCTTCAAGCTCTACGTCAGGTCCAATTAACACCTTTTCTACACCGGGTGTTTCCACGTCTACCCCTTCAAGCTCTACGTCAGGTCCAATTAACACCTTTTCTACACCGGGTGTTTCCACGTCTACCCCTTCAAGCTCTACGTCAGGTCCAATTAACACCTTTTCTACACCGGGTGTTTCCACGTCTACCCCTTAGAGCTCTATGTCAGGTCCAATTAACACCTTTTCTACACCGGGTGTTTCCACGTCTACCCCTTAGAGCTCTACGTCAGGTCCAATTAACACCTTTTCTACACCGGGTGTTTCCACGTCTACCCCGTCAAGCTCTACGTCAGGTCCAATTAACACCTTTTCTACACCAGGTGTTTCCACGTCTACCCCTTCAAGCTCTACGTCAGGTCCAATTAACACCTTTTCTACACCGGGTGTTTCCACGTCTACCCCTTCAAGCTCTACGTCAGGTCCAATTAACACCTTTTCTACACCAGGTGTTTCCACGTCTACCCCTTCAAGCTCTACGTCAGATCCAATTAACACCTTTTCTACACCAGGTGTTTCCACGTCTACCCCTTCAAGCTCTACGTCAGGCCCAATTAACACCTTTTCTACACCAGGTGTTTCCACGTTTACCCCTTCAAGCTCTACGTCAGGTCCAATTAACACCTTTTCTACACCAGGTATTTCCACGTCTACCCCTTCAAGCTCTACGTCAGGTCCAATTAACACCTTTTCTACACTAGGTGTTTCTAATTCCATCTCTTCGAGCTCTACATCTGGTCCTCATACTGCCACTTCTTCCCCACCATTTTCAACTTCTTCCACTTCTGGCTCCACCATCCCTTTTACTACATCAGCGATTAATCCAACTACATCTGGATCTTCTACATCCATCCATGTTAGCAGTTCATCTGGTTATGCATCTTCTGCATCAGTCACTACTACCTGTACATCTAATCCTGTCAGTTCAACATTTGTCCCAGATTCAACCAACACTCCACAGTTTAGTAGCACACCTGACTTTACTACCACCACAACTGGCTCTTCAATCTCTGATCATTCCACAACCCCATTAGACCATTCTACAACAAAGTCCACACATCATTCCCCCAGTCATGCCAGCACATTCAGTTCTTTCACTTCTACTTCTGTCAAAACTCGGACCTCTGGTTCTACATCAACCGTTTTTACTACAACAGATGGTACTTCCACCTCTTTAAGTGCTTTGCCAGAATCTTTTACAACAACTTATACACCTGGCACTTCAGCTGTCATAACTGAACCAGAATCATCAGATACACCTACAACAATTATTCCACTAACAACCACTGTTCCTGTGACTCCAACATCGTTACAAAGAGCTACCACCACCACCCGTTCAATATCAATTTTCCCAACAACTACTAAACCCCAAACTACTGTCACTCCACAAACATCACCAACCTCTACAACTACCACCACAACCACTCTTACTACAAAGGTATCAACTACAAACACCATCACCACCACCCCAACATTTACCACCAAAACTACGACAAAAAAGAAAAAAAATGAGGATGAAAAAGAACAGGAAAAAAATCCTGAAACTCCAAGAAGTAGTCCTGTACCCCCTCCCATCGTTCCCCCTCCCATAGTACCCCCTCCCATCGTACCCCCTCCCATAGTATCCCCTCCCATAGTTCCCCCTCCCATCATACCCCCTCCCATCATACCCCCTCCCATCGTACCCCCTCCCATAGAACCCCCTCCCATAGTACCCTCTCCCATCACACCTTCTCGAATTTTTCCCCCTCCCCTTCTATCCCCTACAATCAATGCACTGACATTTCCGAAGACCTCTGACCCCACTCCTAAATATTCCGCCATTCCACTAACAACTGAACCCGAATTATCAGATACATCTTCAACAACTATTCCACTAACCACCAGGGTTCCTGTGACCCCAACATCTTTACAAACACCTACCACCACCACCCATTTAACCACAACATACCAAACAACTACTAAACCCCAAATTGTTATCACTCCACTAACATCAACAGTTTCTACAATAACCAAAAGTAATGCTTTAACAACAATCACATCCACTACAAAGGTATCAGCTACAGCCACCACCAACACCACCCCAATCCCAACCTCTACTACCAACAACTACCATCATCACCCATTTACCCATGACTTTCCCAACAACAGTCCTGCCTCATCTACAATTTCTGCCACTTCTAGCACAGATAAGGAAAATGATTTGACCCATTCTTCTCCAGCTGCTGATACAGTCACAGCCATGGCTCAAACACCAGAAGAAAGTAGTTCTACTGAGTCTTTGCTACCCACTTTTGCAGTTTCTACAACGAGCCATAGCACTCTAGGAATTAGCTCCACTAAACTTCTTCCAGCTTCTTCTGTAGCTACAGTCACAACTCAACAAGTGGAAGGTAGCACTTCTAACGGCTCTTATTCAGCCTCTATTCTGGGTTTCAGGAATCAGACCACCCAACACTCTTTCACAAGGAGCACTGAAACTACTCAAATCTCAAATGATGCTGAATTCACTCCTAGTACAGTGTACTTGTTCCATGTCAAATCAACGACTGAAGCCATAACTTCTGCAGATTTTCAATTTCCTTTATTAACCTTCTCCTGCTCAGATGCTCCTTCTGCACAATTATATTACCGTTACCAGACAGTCCTGGCCTATTACAAAATGTTGTACGAGTACCAGCAACGCGAAGAGACTCAGGAATCTGCATTTAGTTAGTTTTCATGATTAGTATTCATTTGGACTAATATGTACTAAGAAGAGTTATTTTCTCTTATAGTAACAATAAAAAAAGTGAAAAATATAATGAATAAAAAATTCACTGGCAAATTTTTAAAAACCTTTCACGTTTGAGTTTTACAATGCATGCATCAAACTGTAAACAATACTTTAAATGTTTCATTGAAATGTATTTTTTATTTGTGTGTGCAGCACAAGTCGGTGTCTCACATTTCAAATGATTTTTGTTATTGAGCTTGATGCTTTTGCGCAATAAAGTCTTACACAAACGTCCTGATTTCTTCACACCCTTTCTCTGCTAAACTGAAGCACAGACACCAAGGCTCCAAAAAGACACTTTCACTAGTAACCAAACACAGCAGCCAAGTGTTTCTACATTTATTGTATAATAGCTATTGTTGTGATTATAATGTTTATATAGAAAAGATCATTAGAAGTCATAACTTCTAATGATCTTTTCTAATACACTCGGCTGTAAATAGTTATGTGATGCTGTGATTAGATGATGAGGTGGGACTTTATCTCCACATACTCTGGTTCTAAAAACACAACATGGCAGTGCTGTAAACGGGAACATTTGGCTAGCGTTTTTATATTACAGAAATCAGAGATCAGATTGTCTTTATTTTTATATGTCATAGGTTTCCTCACTAAAATAAGGAGGATTCATACAGATCACACAGAAACCTGTACATGCCAGTTTTAACACAGACGGGTTGGACTGGTTTCAGAAGCACTTCTGATTATTTTTCAAAGACTTTTTTAACTTCCAAACAGAAAAGGCACCTTTACATTTGTCTTTCTGAAACTTGCTTCTTGCTTAAGTCCACACACACACACACACACACACACACACACACACACACACACACACACACACACACACACACACGCACACGCACACGCACACACACACACACACACACACACACACACACACACACACACACGCACACGCACACGCACACACACACACACACACACACCTGCAAAACCTGTATGCACACACACCTGAGCTCTCCGCTCAGCAGCAACAAACGCTCACTTGATTTTGACTGCATTTTTAAACAATTTCATTTTGAAACAAATCGTAACAGCACAAAGGCTTCAGAGTTTTTGTGATTATAAAAGTATTTTAAGTTCATTACAACCTTTATTTTCTCATAAATGAGCCGAGTTAGTAACTCTGTGAAGCCCAGAGAACCTCGGCGGAGCAGGTCGAGAGGAGCCTGCTGCCGGTCCGAGAGTCCGGGCATGATGGATCAGAGACAGATCAGCGGCCACGCCGTTTGTCAGAGACAAAGGAATAGCAGCAGCAGGTTCAGGGGTGGGGGCATCTATCATTTTATCCCAGGCCCCAACCACACTGTCTTCTGGCTTGTGTTTAGTAATGAACTCATTTTGATAAAGCATAAAATAAAAATAGTCTCTTTTATTTATTGGTTTGTTTTGAATTTCATAGGGAAGCTTTTCAAATGTACGTATAATCTTTGTCTCACTCATCTTAAAAAAAACAAAAAAGCTGTAAATAACTGAGCTAGCCAATGTAAGATGTTCATTTTGTTTACTTTGGATTTTTACAAATTAAATGTCTTTATGCAAAACAGAATGACAAGGAGAAATTTGGCTTTTATTGAGGAAACATGAGGTGTAATATTTGTACTCGAAGCTGTAAGTTTCAGGTTAAAGGAAACAATGGAACAAGAATTCCTGAGAGTTGCAGGATGCGGGAAGATGAAGCATCAGAATGAGGAAGGAGGAAACAGAGCTCACACGATGATGCACCTGTTCAGCATGAGGAAACTACACGCTATAAAAAAGAACAAAAGAGAGAGAGAGAGACAGTTGCTGCAGATTGTGTGAGTATTCATTTCATCCTGGTTGATTTCTGCTGTGATTAAATGTCGTGTTTTATTTTTATTCTCCTTCCTTCAGACTCTGCTTATTTCTCAGTTGTTTGTTAGGATTTTTATGCAGATTTTTGTAACTTGGCTTTTTTTTATCTCTGTTATTTTATTTAATTACACAACTTTCTGTCTAACTTGTGTTAATTTATTAGCATGTTGCACAGAAAAAAAAGTACTTTTATTTCTGATCATTTGGAATCTCTTCAGTTTTTCAAATTTGATAAACGTTTTTCGGGTATAGACTTTCTACATTTAGTTATAACCACTGATGTTTATGTAGAAGTTTGTCTACAAGAGTTTACATCTGTTTATGGTAAATGGTAAATGGCCTGTATTTGATATAGCACCTTCTAGAGTCCTGGAACCCCCCAAGGCGCTTTATAACACAATCAGTCATTCACCCATTCACACACACATTCACACACTGGTGGGGATGAGCTACAATGTAGCCACAGCTGCCCTGGGGCGCACTGACAGAGGCGAGGCTGCCGAGCACTGGCGCCGCCGGTCCCTCCGACCACCACCAGCAGGCAACGTGGGTTAAGTGTCTTGCCCAAGGACACAACGACAGCGACATACTGAGCAAGCTCGAACCTGCAACCTTCCGATTACGGGGCGAGCACTTAACTCCTGTGCTACCGTCGCCCACTTATCTACTGAGTTTTGTTTTATTTTTGGTTTATAATTAGTTAACAATCTTTTTTTTTTTTTTGCTAATTTCCACACCTTATGATAGTCTGGTTATATGACAGATAACCAGGGTCTGTGGAGCGAACCTCATCACCTAATTATGGTGTTTAAATAGCATCAAATAACAGCTCAATAGAATGTTAACAATACCCACACAGCAGACTTTCTATGGTTGTCAAAAAATGTCAAATTTTAAAATATTTTACTTCTCCTTTAGCTGAGTTGTACCAGGCTCTGAAGATGCTAGTCCTGAAGGTGCAGGACCTAATGGTCCTCACTGCTCTGCTGCTCTCCATCACGGGTCCCACAGAAACCAGAGTGGTGACTTCACTACAAGCCTGCCACAACTTCTTCTGTCAGCAAACTCCACCAAACATCCCAGGAATCTTGGCCCACGGAAACATCATAAACCAAAACAGATACAAACCCATTTGCCAAACTTTTGAAAACACGGTAACATTTGTGACACTTTATGATACCACCAACAAGATTCCAGTGTTTTCTGCCTATAAGTACACACAATATGCTACTGGAAGGCCACGTGACATTTGGATGATTGAACCACAGGTTTGTGTTTTTACACAGAACTATAGTTTAGTTGGTAGATGGATTTTTGTACATAGATAAGTTCTAAAAATATGTTTTCATGGAAACTCACTCTGATGATAATCATTGAATCAACTACATCAGATCAGCCGTATCTCACTGGTTGTTTCTGTTTTAATCATTTGTGAAGAACTAAAGATCTGAGGAACTCAGTATGTTTGTGTTATCTATTGTTAACCGTCTCTAATTCAGTCTTCATTCTGTTACAGCTTGAGAACCTTCACAGTGGTAACAACATGGAGATACCTGAAAGAAACAAGAGTTACCAATTCCAGGCTACGCCAGACGACTACGATACCAGTCAGAAATATCAGAAAGGACATTTATTACCAAACTCCTTTGGATCTAATATGAATGTAAAACAATCTACATTCACACTGACCAACGCTGTTCCACAAGTGGATAAATTTAACACAGTGGCCTGGAGAATTATTGAAAGAGATTTGAAAAGCTATATGGGGAATTATTGTGTCAACAACAATGATCAGATAGAAGCTTATGTGGTGATCGGAGCACAGCCTGGCACGGACAACAAATTTCTTAACGGCAAGATTAAGATTCCTTCAATATTGTGGTCAGCCTTCTGCTGCTACAGCAAGAGTACGGGTACATGGCTGACAAGTGCTCAGTGGGGGAAGAATACAGACCACCCAGAACTTCAGAGTAAGACATTGAATGAATTGTATCACGTATTGGGTCATGGATTTGATTTGTTTCCCAACACACAGTGCCCTCGGGACTGTGAATGTACTTTGTCTGGCTGCAAACGACCCAGATCCTCCTAATATATCTTTATGTTATCTTGATCATTTCTAACAACCTTTGTAAGTCCTTCATCCTTTGTGCTGGTACAAGAAATAATGTATTTTCCCGTTATTTGCCCTGGCCAATAGGGTGACCACGAGGTTTTTTTTTTCCGATGCGTTGGGGCATTTAGCGATTTAACCTCACCCCCATCCCGACCTTAACCCAGTTTCTTGTTCTAAATTTCCCATTTACCGTGTTTGAGAGGAACGATACAACAAGAAACAAAGTGTTTCATTTGCAAATGAGTTAAGGTTAGGATGGGGTGAGGGGAAAGTTGAATTGCAAGAGAGTAAAGGTCACAGTTTGCTAAAATCTCAGTTTTACCACGGGCGTCTGAAAGCGATGCTTTGGCCCAGTGCGTCGCCTCCCGAACAAATGCTGGTCACCCTTCGTCATTTTTCGACGCTTTGGATGTGAGAATGTGTTGGCTTTACCAGTTCAAGCATGTGAGGGACTAAAAAGGACTTTGTGATTAGGTTAAGGTTGTTTTCCAACTAAGGGTTCTGGCTATTCATTACTGTGAAAATAATATTAAATGAATAAAAAATAACAATAAAAGTTCTCACCTTACCCAAGTTGTCATATAGAATATGTTTAATGTTATGTAGTTTTCAATGAGGTGCTTCCCTTCACATACATAATAAACTAACGCTGACATTTGAAACAACAGCGAATCACATTTAGCTGTTGAAAGTCTTTTCTTGGCCCATGTGTTTATAATAACAATCTGTTTGACTTTATTGAAGCCATACTTTGCAACTTTTTCATGTTTTTAAATCATTTTTCAGAGGTGTGGACTTGAGACACATGACTTGGACTCGAGTCAATATTTTAATGACTTCTGACTTGACTTGATAAAATCTATAAAGACTTACGACTTGACTCGGGCTTGAACGCCAATGACTTGCGACTTGAATCGACTTGCGTCTGTTGACTTGATGAGTGGCACGACATGGACAAAAATTATAAATCGTTCTTCGTTCTGGGTTTGATCTTGTACGGCTAAATGCAGCAGCACTTTGTTTATAATCAGTTTCAGTTTAACTTTCTGCTTGTTTGAGCAAATAAATGAAGCTTTAAGAAGCTTTATTTCTGGAATTTATTTATTATCATCGTCATTAAATTGAAGTTGGACAGATGACTTGATTATGACTTGAAAATTCAAAGTTAAGGACTTGGATTTGACTTGGACTTCCAGATCATTGACTTTGGACTTGACTTGGACTTATAGTTGTCTTTGACTTGGACATGACTCAAAACTTGACTGGAAAGACTTGTGACTTAATTGGGACTTGTAAAGCAGTGACTTGGTCCTACCTCTCTCATTTTCCTGAGCCAGTATGTGCTAATGAACCTTTACAGGGTAGAAAAAAACCTAAATCCTGGATTAGCTAACATAATCTAAAAGGCCATTTTTCATCTGCAGTCCCTGAACAGTATTATTTAATAATCTGGGTTTTTCTGGTATCCCTGCTTCTGTGGTGAAGAAAAGGTAAACATTCAAGAAATGTGGGAAGTTGGTCCAGTGGCCATGAAGTCTTCTCGGCAAGGCTTCTGAATATTAAAGGCCATAGCTTCCTCTGAATCTGCACGGCTAGTCAAAAGTTACCATCTGGGTGTCTGCTGGCAGCTCTGATGGAGTTGTTTGCACCTGATGGAGTTTTGCAGGTTAAATTAAACAACAGTTGTTGAACCTGAAAATGGTTGATTCTATGCCGCTAAAATATTCTGTGGAAAGACCTGATTTGATCTCCCAAGAGGTGCTAATTTTAGCAAATGAAGCAGGAACTGAATTTTAGAGAAAGTGTATTTCTCTATTAAGGCTCTGTGTTGGACCAATCAGATGCCAGAGAATGTAGGAGGCGTCACACCCTTTTCTAGGAAACCCTCTAAAGGAATATTTCACCTATTATGTCATCTGACACAGTTGCAATGATTCGTTAGTTACATCTTACGTAAGTAACCATCAAAGGTGAGGTTCCATAGAAAATATGAAATCAGTTTGATGTATCTTTGAATATTACTTTAAACAGAAGATCGGAACATTTTATTGCAGGGATTAGGTAACACTTCGTATTAACCCAGAGTCAAAAGAGAGAGAGAGAGACAAGTTTTAAAGTTTAAGAAGATTTATTTCTAAACAATTTAAAACAAGGCTAACTGGCTCTAAACACTCTGTGTGATGAATGGATCTAGGTGTGAATGAGGCAAGATGGATGGTGTAATGTGCAACGTGTTATCCGAACTCTCGTTTCCAAAGAAGCATTAGTTCTGTGTGGGAGCGAATGTTTTTGCTCTAAACTACAGTCGGAGTTTCAAAAACCACATTCAGACGCTATCTTGCCGCTCTAAATACCCTTGGTGGAGACCTCCGTTGTAGATCCAGAATGCCAGGTCCTCGGACCCCCCTTTGGTACCGGAGCCAATGAAACAGCGTACGGTACGACAGACTAGTCTCGGGATTGCCTCCAGGTAAGCGACAGGTGTTTGACAGCGTCGGCGGGACCCTGAAGTGTCAGTGAGTTCAGCTTTACTCTGAACTGCGTTGCATTCAGATGTAGCTTGCAACGGGTTTTATTATCCAGCTTGTCAAGGTTCTTTGTGGTTAAAAAGTTACGAGTGGCCGGCTCGAAACTCTAGAACTTTTGAACTGAGTTAAGGGTGATGTGGGAATTAGTTTTATAATTCAGCTGTTTTGATTTATGGTCGAATCAGAATTTGACAAAAAAATAAACACCGCACAGACCACCCCATGCGTCAGAAAGGAAAGCTCTGATTGGAGAGACTAAAAGAATGTGCCATGTGATTTTAACATTACTTGTGATAGGAGTGTCTAGTGCTTCTGTACCAAGTAAATCTTTATACAAAACTACTGATTAAAGTATTATATTATATCTAGATAGCTATTATATCAAGTAATTAAAATTCTCATTTCACAGATTGATTGAACATTAGGCTTCACACGATTATTTGACTAACAGATGTTTTTTAATTATTTAATGGAGTTCTGATTTCTAAGAGAGTTCTTCTTGGTCTTCTCTTGAGCTGTAGGGGGAGGCAAATAGCTAGTCAGAACAGTTTAGATACGGAGGCATCAAAGGCCTTGAGCAATATCTCAAGGAGATTAGTTCTTCATGAGGAGAGAGGGGAAATGACCTTTAGGTGGAAAACAGTCCCTTCATGACTCTACATACCCCCCTTTTCAAGGGCACGGTAGTCCAAGCAGAGACCACCTGACGTTGAACAACAAGAGTCCTGAAGGACCCTGTCGAGAGATCAATGACAGCCACACAGGAGTTCTTAATAATCACTACAACTCATTTACTGTAACAACCAGGGCTGGAGGACCCGTGAAAGCACCAGACACTGTAAGACACTTTAAAGTTTTTATTTGAGAACACACAGGGGAGTGTTACCAGTCTGTAGGAAGGGCAGAAGCAGAAGGCTTGGTCAGGAGGGGAAATCCAGAGGCAGAGTCCATGTAACAGATCCAAGGTCAGGAGTCCAGAAGATCAGAAACTATGAGATAATCCAGTCAGGGAGCAGGCAGGTGGCAAGGTCGAGGTTCAGAAGCAAGGTCAGGAACTTGAGGTTTAGGCAGGGTTTTAGAGTGCTGGAGAATCTACTAGCAAAATGCTTTCAAAAATCTGGCACTGGCTTGGTGTTTTTCCTGATGTTATATAGAGGTGGTTGCAGGTGGAGCTGATGAGTTAATGTGAGACAGGTGGTTTGAATCAGGTAGATGATGAGCTGGTTGTGGTTGCTGGGGAAACCGGGCCTGGTTGGAGCGGTGGCATGACATTTACACTTTTATCACTTTCATTTTATAGCTTTATCATCCCAACAAAAAAGCTTTTCATCTTAAAAATATTAGGACAAAACCTTTGGGTTATATACACTCAGTGTTTCTAAAGTTTTTATGCTAACAGTGGGTTTGTGAAAGAGGAATAAAAGAGCTCCTGGAAAGTTGCTCTTTGGGGAGAAAAACACTGCTTCAGGTTTTTAGTTTCACTGGGATGCAGAATGGACACATTTAACTTTTTACACTGATGATTCATCACTTTACCTCCATGGATGTTCATTTCATAACTTTATAGCAACTTAGAGCAGATTGAGTCTTTTGAAAGTGTATTTATTCCATTTCTGTATCATGCATTCTTGCAGGACTTTACTGTGGTGGGTAATATTCATACTATGGAAGATAACTATCGGTTATATGTGTAGGTTATTGGAGTCTAAGAACAGCATAATCCTGTCTTTGACAAACTTCAGACAGAGTTCTGTTATGTTTTATTCCAATATGTGGAATTATTGGCATTTTAACTTTTATGTGGGCCTGTAACAGCTTGCATTTATTTGTAATTATTGTACTAATTAATGTTTTTATTATCTGCCATGGACCATTTTGTGTCTTTAATAAAGTGATTGAATTGAATTGGTAGTCTGGCCATGAAGGCTGTTAGCACAGTTACGCTGATTAAGCATTATTACTGTATTGGTGGTGGTTGGAGGGACCGGTGGCGCCTGTGCTCGGCAGCCTCGCCTCTGTCAGTGCATCCCAGGGCAGCTGTGGCTACATTGTAGCTCATCATCATCAGTGTGTGAATGTGTGTGTGAATCGATGAATGATACACTGTAGTGTAAAGCGCTTTGGAGTCCTTACTCTGAGAGGCGCTATACAAGTGTGGGTCTTTTATCATTACCATTTATCATACTGGCAGAATTCTAAAACTATATTGTTTGATACAAGCTAGTAACTCAGAGACATTGATATAGAGGCATTTAATGAGTTGTTAGATGCCTCTATGTCAGAGAAGCTGTTACGGTCCCTGTCCATGGCACACAGTGACCCACAGGACCTTTTTAGGACCGCTGTTCATGTCACTGCTTCAGCACACTGAACAGTTCCCACCAGCAGCACTACTTTCCTCCTGGACAGCCAGTTCAGCACCATGGAGAGAGGCATTCAGGTTGTGTAGAAACCAAGCTGAAACCAGTTGAACAATCTAGAGCCAGACATAAAAGATTATGTGTTGTCACCTGTGAGGGACTCAGCAACAGTCTGTTGTCCTCCATGGCTGTTGGGTATCATCTGTTCACAAAAGATATTTAGGACTCTTACAATAACCCTTGTTTAAATACTCTCTTTGACCTCAGAGAAATGCACTGCTGCAGCGGTTCCAGTGACCCTTAGTTAAATAAATCTTTTTTTTTTTTTTTACCGTGTCCTGTCTGGCTGTGAAACAAACAGAATTGCTGTCTGAATGCTGGTAACAAGCCTTACAGATTTACTCCCAGGTGGAGCATCAAAGCATCTGCTTTTAATGTCACGCCTGATACTTAAAACTTTATTGTTATTGTTTTTGAATGCTTTGTAATTCCAACCAGACACGAAAACAGAGGTGAAAGAGAAAGGAAAAGACAAAAGGTGGGAAGAGAGGGGGGAAAGGGGTGGGGGGTGGGGTTCCACAAAAATAACCAATAATGAACAAGAGTCTGCTTCTAGACCTGCAGAAAGAGAAAGAGCAGAAAAATGGGACACACAACAATACATCAGGAGCAAGCTATCACTGCGTCAACTTGATGATGAAATATAAAATTAACATTGTTTAACTGAACAATCACACAATAATAAATCATAGTGCATTTAGTGGCAACAACAGCGTTAAGACATGTGTTGAATGTGCCCAAGCCCATACTTTTGAGAGCACCATGTGAGCACCTGTGTGTGTACACGCGCTTGTATATGTAAGGTTTCTCTATAGGAGCGTCCAGTAGAGAGTGTGAGCGACCACAGATCTGCCCCCCAAAGATGTGTAGGAGACGCGGGGAGCTCCAAGTCCCAGAGATCCAGGCGCTGCCCCAGAACACAGGAACCCCAAGAAGACTGCAACCAGAAAGCCCCCCCACCCCCCCACCCCACCCACCCCTCGAGAGGCACAGAGGATCGCCCCAGGGGCCACAACCAGCAGCCGGCAGAGTCCCGGGAGACATCAGCGGCAAGCCCACAGGCCCGCCCGCAGCCTCCCACCCCCTAGCCGGCCGAGCCCGGGACCCAGCGACCCGGGATCCAGGGGCGACCACCCCCACCGGGGAACCCAGCAGAGCCCAGGGACCCAGACCCCACCAGGCAGCCACCGGGATTCATCAGGCAGACGCCAAAAATCTTAAACCCCCTGACCCGGGAGCCACGAACACCCAGGCAGACCAAGGCACCACACCCCACACCAGGTGTGGCAGGGGGAGGGTAGATGAAGATCTATATCATCAAAAGAAGTCCCAGGAGAGGGGAGGAGTCAAAGGCCCCACCTGACATATACAGTCATACACAAACACAGTCACACACTCCCTCCCTCATGCTCACACATGCACATACAACCAAAGACTTACAAAAATGCACGCCGGACACCCAGT